GTATCTGTGTGCATGCATCTCCTTAAATCATACTTAATCTCCACATAAGACAATAACACGGTCATAATTCTGCCTAACACAATACAATTATCCTATCACAACCAAAAATGCACTAACGCCTTCCCCAAAAGAGGAGGTAAAGTCCTTGAGTGATGTTTTCTCTTTTTGATATCCTGTAACTTAACAATACTTATATACTACTGTGATATAAAGTTAATGCATCTTATATTACATAAGGGAATAAGAGGAAAGAAGTTAGGTAGACAAACAGATATAGATACACACACAAACATATTCATAGCAAAATTAAAAGGAACTACTCATGACAATTACCGTCCTTGTTTCTGTAACAGGTCACAGGTAGAAGTTAGTATTAATGACGGATTGCCTTCTTCCACTTCCCACTCTGTATTTATTTCCTTTGCCTTCAGCATGGTTTTTACCTGGTGGGGTGACCCAAACCTTCGTTTCTGAAGGGCCTGGGCCCTCAGTAATCCTTCCTAGATTGGTGTGTTGTGATTTTTCATTGACCTTAATCACAGGGCATGATGATACTAAGAGACACCCTAAAGGATTTCCTATATTCCAGACATACTCTTCCTAATGTCTGTTGTGGAATAGTAGTCCAGTTTCTCCTTGGAGGTCAGGATCAGTTACCCCAGGCAGCACCGTAACTCCCCTCTTTGCCTATTGATTCAGAGGCATAAGGATCCCCAAATGGCCAGGTGAGTCTTCGTTTCCAGTTTAGTGCAGTTATGTCTCTTGGTGGAAGCATTCCTCCCTCTGGAGCTATGATCTGTAGATCAGCAGAGTATAAAGTCTCAAAGCAGATATTTTGCTGGTGAGTCTCTAGGGGTAACAGTAAGTGGTGTCACTCCTATTTCCACTTCTTGATTCTTGTATCTGTGAATCCTTATTATGAAAAAAACCCAACAACAAACCCACTTATTGGACACTGATTTAAAGCATATTCATACTTCTGGAAAACCTTGCTCCAGCCCTGCAATGTATTGCCACCTAGCTGGCACTATGACTTGAGTCTCCGTGAAGACATTCCACTGTCTGTCATGCATTTGCTTCAAGGATGTTAGGGAACATGGTAAGACTAGTAAATTCCGTGAGCTTGGGCCCATCGTTGCACTTCTTTTGCTGTGAAGTTGTTCCTTGATCACAAGCAATGCTGTGTGCAATACCATGCTGGTGAATAAGGCATCCTTTAAGTCCATTGATGGTAGCTTTGACAGAAACATTGCATACAGGGAATGCACATCCATATCCAGAGTGTCTATTCCAGTAAGAACAAAATGCTGACCCTTCCACAATAGAAATGGTCTTGTGTAATCAACCTGTCACCAGGTAGTTGGCTGATTGCCCCAGGGAATGGTGTCATATCAGGGGCTCAGTGTTGGTCTCTGCTCCTGGCAGATTGGACACTCTACAGTTGCCATAGCCTCAGTGAATGGAAATCTATGTTGTTGAGCCCATGCATAACCTCCACCCTTGTCACCATGGCCACTTTGTTCATAAGCCTATTATTGGGCAATGATAAGGGTGGCTGGGAAGGAGGCTGACTGGTATCCCCAGAGTGGGTCATCCTATCCAACTGATTTTAAAATCCTCCTCTACGGAGCTCACCCTTCGGTGAGCAGTTACTTGGGACACAAATTTCTTTACGTTTTCAGCCCATTCAGAGAGGTCTATCTACATATAGCTTCCCCAAATTTGTCACCAGTTTTTCCTTATACACTAAACCAAGGCATGTCCAGCATTTCCAGTTCACTCATTGTGGGTCACCTTTTGGTCCATGTTTCAGCCAACCAGCCAAACAAATACTAGTGCCTTTTCTAACTCCCCAAGTTGCAATACTAAATGCAGAATCTGTTTGGTGAGACCATATCAGTGTTAATAATTAATCCCAATGAAAATACTTTTAGTCCAACAAAAGTATTTATGAAGATGATTGGCCAGGGTGAAGTTGGCTTAATGGGGTTAGATTAATTCTGAATACTTTTTAAAAGTATGTCAATGTTTGGATAATTTTCAGTAACACATTTGCATTAATAAACATGGAATCAAAACTTCCCGAGTCTCCAAATAGGGTTCAGGTGGAAAAATTGTAAAAATGCCTTCTATTCATTTCAATTTAGTGTGAAAGGTAACAAAATATTAAATAATGATACCCACTATAACAGCAGGAAGGGATATAGTAGGCCTATTACAATAGTCCAAAGAAAGATGAAGGCGTGAATAAAAGCAGACAGTGAAGGTGGAGAGGAACAGGCAAATGCAAGAGGCATCTAGAAGAAGAATTACTCAAGTTCTGTGACTGAATGCTGTGCATTGAATGTCAGGGGAAGTTTTGACTTGGTCATATATTAGGTGGAGGGATTCTTAGCAAAATAATAATACATTAGGAGGAAAAGATGGGGAATTCTGTTTCGACGTGTTGAATGTGAGGTGGATATGAAGTCAGCCAGATTCAGAAGACCAGTAGGAAACTGTGAATATGGATCTAGCGTAATGGAAAGATCTTGGCTGGAAATACGGACTTGAGAGTCATCTCTGTTTATCTGTCTATCGTCAATCTACCTACCTACCTACCTACCTACCTACCTACCTACCTACCCATCCATCCATCCATCCATCCATCCATCCATCCATCCATCCATCCATCCATCCATCCATCCATCCATCCATCCATCATCATCTATCTATCAATCAATCATCGTTCCTAGAGTTCCATCATTGTATGTTCCCTCTCCCTCTTCCTTTTCCTCTCTCCCTCCGCCTTACCCTTTTTGCTATTTAATAGATGCTTCCTTGGTGATTTCATTCATTTTCTAAGTAGACTGTATAAAGACAATATCTGATACATATACACAGTATCCAATACTGCCTACACATACAGACTATACAGACAGTGGATGAAGTCATGTAGGATGGCTCTACAAAAGAAGAATGTTAATGGAAAGGCTGAGATAAAAAACAATATTGAAACACAGATACATATCTGAAGTAGAATTGGTGGAAGAGACAGAGAAGATAGGCAGGACTATGGAAGAGTAACATCCCAAAATCTAAGGGAGGAGAAAGTTTTAAGAGTAGTCAGTTGACTGGCGAAGGTAAGAGCTGAGTAAAAGGGCTTCCGTTGAGTTTTTGTGTTGTTACTGGGTATTGATACAGTTAGTAATTAGAGCAGTTTTATGAAGAACTAAAGCTAGTTTGCAGTGGGTTGAGGAGCAGATGGGAAATATGAAAGGAGAAATAACATGTAAACTATGGGACTTAGAATTTATAACTTGAACAGTGGAGGACAATTAGAAGTTTTGTAACTGTTATTGAAAACAATTCTCCTAATATTAGTATAGTTTTTTTTTTGCTTGGTTGGATCATTTGGTTTATACCAGACCAATGAGTCCATTCTCATGTGGGCCATTTGGGTTTGATATATTCCTGGGGGTCTCCTAATGTAGAGTCTTGGCAAACAAACCTGAATTGCAGTTCCTAGGGCTTTAGATTAAGGGCAAAAAAATCCTAATATTCATAAAATAACTATGATCTCATTAAACAAAAAGTATGGCACCTACAGGTTGGTAATTCCAAGAGTGCCTTTCCCCTATTTGGTAAGGTAAGTATTTGCTAAAGTGATACCTGTTGCAGATGTACTTCATGTATTGAAATGTTTTAATAGTATCAGAAAATTACCAGAAGAAATAACATGTAATACATTGAATTAAAAAGTCCTCATTTGCTTAATAAGTGAACTGTTCATTTTTTAAAAATGACATCATCTATTTGGATAACTAGGGTAAGGGAATACCATGTGTTTTAATTGAGCACTTTATAGTTTTTAATAGAGTTTTAGTTGGACATCTGGTTTTTTCCTAATGTGCTATAGACTAAAAGGAGCCATTCTTTCCTCATGCTAGTTCAATGGGAGATTGTTCTCTGTAACTCTGTTTTGAAATTTTGAGTTATCACTTTTTCTTTACTACATTAGTTAAATGTGAAATGATAGTTTATTTTAGAAAGTCTCTTATGGTGGTGAATTAGATATGTTTGTGCTTTTTTTAAGAATAATTTTTGAATAGAAACTGGTTTAAAAAGGGATTTTTTAAGTGGCTGCATTGCGGTTCACATTATAGAGTAGGAAAGGAAATGGAAAGGTTTCATGCTTCCATGGTTAGTTTGTTTATGCAGCATTTGCATTTTTCTCTGCTTCCAGCAATCATTTTCATGCATATTTTAAAGAGATCTACATTTCTAAGAGAAAATACATTTTTGTTTTGCTGGGATTTAGGATGGTTCACATTATTGTGGATCCCTTGTTTTTATTTCTATTGGATTAAAATAGAATTTTCAGTAACTGTACTTTTCTTCTGTAGTCGATAATAGTACAGTCCAATAGCAATATAATGTGAGCCACATATGCATTTAAAATGCCACATTAAAAATAGTAGTAATTACAGATAAAATGGATTTTTTTGTTTAACTCAGTGTATCAAAAATATTATTTGAACAGGTAATCAATATAAAAATTATTAATGAAATATTTTGTCTTTTGTATTTCATATTTTCAAAATCCAGTTTGTATTTTGCACTTAAAATCTTTCTTAATTTGGCCTAGCCACATTTCAAGTGCTCGGTAGCCACATGTGTCTAACGGCTACACCTATTGTAGAGTGCAGGTCTATAGAGTCAGAACAAATTCTTAGTATCTGGATGGATAGAAAGATAAAAAGAAATATTTATTTTCTATAAATTGGACTTGAAAAGTGTAATAACTAGTTACCAACACCCAATAATGTGACCATCTTTATGGATGTCAAACTTTTTTATTCATTGGAAAGTTAATTGGAAGAGATATGCTGAAAATATTGGGTAGATGGAACTTTACTACTTGGTTGCCCTTAATAACTGTACTGTGCAATTGCATTTATTTCTGCTGTATATACATATTCATGTTTCATGAAATTTCAGTATATGTCTGTAATTTGTAGCATAAATGCAGTTCCAGCTACAATGAAGATTTTGTGCTACAGCTAGAGAAGGAATTGGTTCAGGCCCGTCTGAGTGAAGCCGAGTCTCAGTGTGCACTAAAGGAGATGCAGGATAAAGTCCTGGACATGGAGAAGGTGAGACCAACATAAATGCTATTACTCCCAAATTAGAGGGGACATGTGGTAGATATTTGTTAAGTACTTATTGAGCAGTTAAATTGGACTTGGTGGTTTTACATATTGGAAACCTTACATATTAGTTACTGAGAGAGGAAAGGGAAAAAAATAAGATTCCCAGTTATTTTTTGTTGCCGTACAACTCGAGCCTCTTATTTAAGGCTAAAAATGGAGATTAGATAGAGTTCTTTTAGAGGAAAACAGGATAATTTTGATATGAATAATATTTAAATGTTGAAGAAGAGAAACTTAGGGGATAGAAATTAACTGTTGTCCTCAAATATTATAATATCTTTTCTGTAAGAAGTTGGATATGACTAATACATAAACATTTCAGGAAAAATTTCATCTGAGTGTAAGCTACAATAAGCCACCTCACGATATATAGGAAGACCTTAGCCTGAGGTATGCTACAGAAGCTAACTTACCTCTTTTCAAAGTCATTAAAGAACTTGAAGGGTTAGCCAGGTAGTGGAAATAGAAACACTTTAAGTTTCTTATAACCCTCAGACTTGAGAGTCTGTGTTCTAGATAACAAACTCTGTTTTCTCATCTATAAAATCATTGATGGCTTGGGCTCTATGTTGAGTTTGTTCCTTTCATCCCAGGTAATATCTAGCTATTGAATCAAAGGCTCATAAATAACAGACATGACAGACTCAAGTACTTAACTGTTTCTTAATGAAATAGAGCAGGATATAACTACAGTCAGTAGTGGAATAACTGTGCCATAAATCTGCTTGCTATTTTTATATTATTTTTGGAAAATTTATTCTCCTATTTATTGAGGAAAAGGCCAACAAGAATGCTGTGTAAAGTGCCTAATAGAATATTTGGTCTCTAACTTAGGAGTATTCTGGGCTCCACGACTTAGATAAGAATCTGGACTTCTCTGTTTTGAATTTTTGGTAGTAAGAAATGTCCTTGAGTCCAATTTAAAAATTGATTTCTTAAGGAGCTTTGTTGGTATTCATGGTGTAGAGTAAAAAGGAAATTGAAGGTTTGATGCTTCCTATGGTTAATTTTTTCATGCAGGGTTCTCTTTTTATGCATATGCAGCAAATTTCTGGTTTTCAATAGAGAAAATAAAGTTATCATAAAAATATGTAGTTGGCGAGAATAACTTGATTCCATCATTAGAAAAAGAAAATTTCGTAGATTCAAGTTAGTCTCAGTACCTCAGTTTACCTAAGGAGCTTTTACGGTGCGCCTAATTTAGGATCTCTTGGTGACTCCCCAGAGCAGTTAAATACAGGGTTACTGCCCTATATTCTAAGGTAGGTCTTTCAGTATGGTGGGAGAGTAATCTAAATCTTGTACCCTTGAAACAAATATTTAGATCACCTTGGTATTAATTTTGTGACTACTGACATAGTGACTGATGTACAGAGATTTTACACTCCTTTCCAAAGTGACATGCTGAGAAAATACAACAAAACAGATTTTAGACTATTGTCCATAAATCTTTAAAATGTAAATGATGTTTACGCTTCATTTGGAGTCCTAATCACAGGTTAGTAAATTTATTGCCATGTTGAAAAACATTTTTAATCCTATTGCTTTGTAACACTGATTAGTATTTTATTAAAGAAAGCAGAGTTAGACTCACCGTGTTCTCAAAATTAGGTAGTTACCCTCACACATTCCAGTGGAAATGTAAAGCAGTACAGCTGCTTTGGAAAAGTTTGACAGTTTCTTAAAAATTAAATATGGAATTGCCATCTGATTTGGCAGTTCTGCTCCTTGATATGTACTCAAGAGAATTAAAAACATAGGTCCACGCAAAAACTTTTACACAAATAGTCATAGCAGCCTTATTCATAATAGCAAAAAAGTGGAAACACAAATTTCTGTCAACTGATGAATGGATAAATAAAATATGGCATATCCATATAATGGAATATTATTTGGCAACAAAAAGGGATGAACCTCAAAAACATGCTAAGGGAAAGAAGCTAATCATAAAAGGTCACATATTTTATGATTCCATTTATATGAAATGTCCTGAATAGGCAAATCCATAGAGACAGAAAGTAGATTAGGGGTTGCCAAGGGCTGGGGAGTGTGGGGAATGTCGAGTGATTGGTAATGGGTATAGGGTTTCTCTTTAGCGTAATTAGAATGTTTTGAAATTAGATCATGATGATGGATACAGAATCCTGTGAATACTCTTAAAAACCACTGACCTAGTATATATTAAAAGGTAAGTGTTACGGTTTTTGAATTATATCTCAATAAAATTGTATAAAATTAAGTATAATTACATATGGGACAAAATAGCTCTTATTTTATATGCTTTATTTTATTTTATTCTTTAAATTTAAATATCTCAATTAAATTTCCTCTTGCTTTAGAGAAACAACTCCTTTCCTGATGAGAATAACATTGCAAGACTTCAGGAAGAACTCATTGCTGTGAAACTGAGAGAAGCAGAAGCTATTATGGGTTTGAAAGAACTTCGACAACAAGTCAGAGATTTGGAGGAGCACTGGCAGGTATATCGATATATTTTGTGTACTTCTTAAAAGGAGGGTAAAACCTGAATATTCAATTTGTGTGAGTTTGATGTAGTCGTTGACCAACACTGGCATGTGACTTTAAAGTATGAAAGACCCCGTATAATGTACAAAACTGAGAGCATTTATAAATTGAAAGTTCCTTTAACTGTTTCTCCCTTTTTAACTCTTGCAATCAAATAAAAGATAAAATAGAGATCAAGTCATATTTTTGTTGTTTATTGTAATTTATATAACTTTTTCTAAAATACTATAAGGAAAGCCGTCGGGGCGGGTGTGGGAGGCAGCCAATCAGTGTGTCTCTGCCACATCACTGTTTCTCTCTCTCTCTTTTTCCCCCTCCCCCCACTCCCTTCCACTCCCTAAAAATCAATGGGAAAAAATATCCTCACTCCTAGGGGGAGGATTAAAAAAAACAACTGTAAGGAAATAATCCTTTTATATAGTACACATTCTTCTGTTGATATTCAATCCATTTTTCAGTATGTAATAGTAGAAGACTGACACCAATATAAATTTGTAACTTCTTTTGAAAATTGGTACCTCACAAAATAAGACATTTAACTACTTACGTTCCACTAAATATATTAACATTTGAGGGAAACTGTTGACAAGGAACAAAGGAACAAAAAACCAGAATCTATAAGATAGAAGGGAGAAAGGGAAGAAAACAGAAACTGCACAGTGTTTCAGAATAGTGAACTTGGTTTGAATTTGGGGTAGTTGATACATCTAGCAAAGACTGAAATTAGTCCTTGACATTGTCGTGGGGTTTTTTTTCCTTCAAAGTATCAGACAGCAATAAACTGGATATTAAAAGCAAACAGACCTGTACCTTCACCCTGGGTATTTTGAGAACACTGCTCCTAACTTCTAATATTGCTTTCTTATTCATGAATAGACCCATTTTTTTCCTTTTCTTGGGATTTCATTAAAAATAATGTGAAAATCTCATTAAAAATTAGGGTAAAGATTGTATTGTTTACAATAATTAATTCACAATATAAAAAAATTGAACTATATCTGAGTTTTCCCAAATCTCCAATTTATTGGCAGTGAGATCTGCACTGTGACCTTTCTGAAGTTATTTAATCACAATTTCCATTTTCATACCTGTGTAATAAAGATAATAGTGCCTAACTTTTTAGATTTTGGGGGGATTAAATAAAATAACGTGTATAAGGTGCTTAACATAGTACTGGATCTGAAATAATTGCTTAGTAAAGTTACCTTTTTTTCCGATACTGGGAATATTTGTTGCAATATAATTTTTTGTGTTTTAGCGCCACTTAGCTCGTACTACTGGGAGATGGAAAGACCCACCTAAGAAAAATGCTGTGAATGAGTTACAAGATGAATTGATGACCATTCGACTTAGAGAAGCAGAAACACAGGCAGAAATAAGAGAAATAAAACAGAGGATGATGGAAATGGAAACACAGGTATGATGGAAAACCCAGTAACTTTAAAAAATATCATTAGAAGATCAAAAGTTTATGCACAGATTGTATCATCCCTCGAATAGAGCTAAAAGGTGGACATATGAAACTGTCTGTACTACAATTTTTGTAGCTCAAATAAAAAGGGCTAAAATTGTGTTCTTTGATATCAGAGATTTAATGTCTTTGACCCATTCATCAAAGTCTAAGCAAGTCATAATACTCCATTTGACTTTGTTGCCTTTTTACCCAACTTGAGAGGGAATATTCATGTATAGCAAAATTTCTCAACCTCAACAGTATTAACATTTTGGACCAGATAAGTCTTTATTGTGGGGACTGTGTTGTGCATTTTAGGATGTTTAGTAGCATCCCTGTCTTCTACCCACTAGATGCCAGTAGCACTGAGTGCCTCCCCATCCCCCACCCCATGTTATAATGACCAAAAGTGTCTCCACACATTGCCAAATGTCCTTGGCAAAATTCCCTGGTTGAGGACCACTAATATAGAATATAATGTGAATACTGTTTCCTAAAGTTGTGTAATGTGGTAATTCTGAGCAGTCACTTCCAGAGTTATACTTCTTTCTTCTCAAGTCCCCCTTTCTCTAATAAACTCTACCTTAAGTGTATTTCAGATCTGAAAGTTCCTTTTTATGAAATCCATTTGTATTGTAAAGGTACATGTGGTCTTTATGTGGTGCATTTGTGTGGACCATATTCTCTATTCTCTCTGTTACTTCGTTTTCAAATGCTTCTTCAGTCAGTAGGGGGCATAGTTAACTCGTGTCATTCTGTATACCTACGTGTAAAAAGCAGCCATTCCAACTTGAACACAACATGAGTATGTAAATCCTTTAAGTATACTTTGTTTTACTTTGTTCAAAGTTATTTTCTTGTATTTTTCATTGTAGTAATTAAAAATAACAGTATGATTATGAAAAGTAGAAATCTAGCTTTTATAATGGGAAGTTTTATATTTGTAATAAAATTTTATCTCAGTATAGAGATTGAAGATACAAACACAGCTTTTAAGTCATGTTCGGGATTTACTTCAGAGTGGGCGTAGGTCAGTGAGTCAAATTCAGCAAATGCAGTTTTGAGAGCTTGTGAATACAAAGTACTGTGCAGCCTGCGGAGAACTTACACTTGAGGAAGAGGCATTCACAGACTCTACTTACTATAAGTTACTATCTGCAGTGATGGATGTTAATGAAATATTGTGGTAATCACTTCATATGTAAGTCAGGTCATTATGCTATACACTCTAGACTTAAACAGTGCTGTATTTCAGTTATATCTTAATGCAACTGGAAAAATATGTAATCAGAAATACGGTAATTAGAGAGTTAGATAGAAGTTTCTATGGAGAATAGGAGAGGAAAATCAGTTTCAACTAGGTAGTTTGGGAGAAAGCTCTCTAAGGACTTTGTATTTTGAATTGTGCATAACGAGTGTGATTTTGGATGACTTTTGCTGGAAGAGGAATAGTTCCTAAGTGTCAGTGCTTGACTGGAAATGATCCATGAAATTTTCACATTGCAAAATGAGAAAAAGAAATAAAAACAGTGTGGTGTAATAGTAATGCTATATTAGCCATTCAAAGAGTTTTATATCAAACACTCATGTATCCAGCACCCACGGGACATATGTCCCGTTGATACATTTGGCTCCCATTCCTTCATTTTTAATGACTTAGAAAAGTCCACCTAGTGAGTATATCTTAGTTTATTGTACCAAGTTTGCCATTACAAACAGTGCTTCTCTGAACATTCTTGCACATGTTTCCTTGTGTATATCTCTAAGAGTTTCTTTAATACAGAGTTTTTTATTTTTTGTGTGTGCCATGAACCCCTTTTTCAGTCTGAAGCCTATGGACCCCTCTCAAAATAATGTTTTTTAATGCATAAAATAAAATATATAGGATTATAAAGCAAACCAATTATATTGAGATACTGTTATTTAAGTGCTAAAAGGCAAACAAGTTTGTGACGGAACATTTACACAGAGACATATACAACACATTCCCATTGCTGGATTAAGGTTTTTAATGTTTTAGATTTTTGCACATAAATTAGATTATACTATATTTTCCTTTTTGGGGAGACTCCTGATTTCTGTCCCAAGGTAAATGAGTTGGGTTGTATTTCATCTTTTTCTCTTCTCAGGAATTTTGTGTAAGATTGTCATTATCTATTACTTTAATATTTGCTAGAACTTCTTTTTAAACAGTCTTGTTTTGTGAGTATAGTAACTGTTGATCCTAGTTGTTGAAGGATTACAGATCTTTTCAGGTTTTCTGTGTTTTCTTGAGTCTGGTTTGGTAAAATACAGCAAACTTCTGCAAGACTTCAAGTAAATAAAGACACAAACACTATTAGAAATAGAGAAGGGCCATAAATACAGTTCTTAGTATGCAAAACACAGTTTATTCTTGTATTATTATTAATTGTATTATTTTCCAATACAACTGTAAACCCACTTTTGTTCACTATGTATAGCTCCAGTTAAAATGCTCTTTTTAAAAACTCTCAGAACAACTTTAAGTGATGAATTTGAAATTAGATGAAATGGACAGTCTGTTTGGGAAATATGAGTTGAGTGTTTTTTGCTTTGTTTTTTCTTTGAGCTTCTTGGACCTGTGGATCTGTGTCTGACATAAAATGTGGAAAATTCTGGGTCATTATTTCTCCAAGTATTTCTTCTGTTTTATACTGTCTTCTTTTGGGATTTCAGTTACATGTGTATTAGATTGTTTGATGTCCAGCAACTCTTGGATGCTCTGTTCTTTTTCTCCCCCTTGTTTTTTCTCTCTGTGTTTGTTTCTTATTAAGTTCACAGATTCTTTCCTCCTCTTTGTGTGTTGTCTGATGAGCCATTAATGGCATTCTTCACATCTGTTACTGTGTTTATAATTTCTAGCACTTCTCTTTGATTCTTATAGTTTTCATTTCCCTGCTGATATTACCTATCTGATCTTTCATGTTTGTCACCTTTCCTTTAGAGCCTTTAGCATATTAATCACAGTTATTTTAAATTCCCTGTCAGATAACTTTAAAATCTGTGTCATATATAAGGCTGATTCTGCTGATTGCTTTGTCTCTTGGTAGTGTTTTTTTTTTCTTACCTTTTCCTATGCTTTGTAATTTTTTCTGTTTAAAACTTGATATCTTGTGTAGGACAGTAGACTAAGGTAAATAGTTTTTATGCCTAGATATGCACACATCTTTCCTTCTGTTAGGACTTTAATGTGGGGATTTAAGTTAATATAGTCAGGAGTTGGGCTGGGTTTGAGGTTTGTTGTTTCTGTGGTTACCCTCATTACACCACAGGCTTCAAATTCCTCTAACAATATCTTATTTTTAGATTGGGGGCTGGTTTGCAAAAGAGTTTTCTCTGTGTCTTCCCTTTTCACAGCACTTCAGAGTGGGTTTGTCTCCAGCAGTATTCCACTGTTACCTGTGACAGGAAGTTGGGGGCAGAAAACACCTCTGCCCTGTTGTTCTGATAAAGCCTCAGTCTTAGGCTGCACTGTCCCTGAATCTGGGGTATTTGGCCTTCTTAGTGCTCCTTCCCTATCCCTAGCTATAGTCCTAGACCAAAATATAGTCCTCCTTCCTCAGATACAAAGGTTTCCCTAGCCCCAAGGAGATTAGTGTTCCAAGCAGATTAAGCCTTTTATTCCCTAGAAGAGGCAAGCAAGAGTTAGTGCCGCTCTTATATTGGCTGCTATTCCCCTCCCCTACCTCAGGCCTGTACCTTTGGCCTCTCTTTCTCAAGACTCCAAACATCAGCCTTTTCTGTGTATACCTGCTGGGGCCCATGAAGACGAAGTTGTGAACTCTGCTGCCCCCTTGGGCTGAGCACTTTCTAGCCAGCCCACACTTGGCCTCCACCAATTTGATATTTATTTTAGCTGAAGTATGCTTAACAGCTCCTGGTTGCTTCTGCACTTGTCTCCCCTTAGATTTGGGGCTAGATGGTTACCTTCTGACCTCACTTCTCTGGGTTCAGCAAAAGTCATGAACTTAGAGTTTGACTGGCTGTTTTCTCTTTTTTTAATTGAAAGGGTGGGTGCAGCACTTTTTCTGACCCTCTACATCCCTGACCAAAAGTCAGAAGTCTTTATTATGATATATTTGAAATTGTTTTATTTTGTAATTTTTACGTCTTCCATTTCTCTGCTCTTTCCTCTTTTATTGCTCTTTATTGGTTTAGTTTAGTTTTTCTTTCTCTTTCTCTCTACTAGTTTGACTTTCACAATTTCTTTTATTTTCTGTTAGTGTTTATTACTTGAAAAAATCGAAAACACTCACCTGACTGAACAAAGTCTAAAGTTAGTAATTATCTCTATCTTCCATTCAAACTGTATTAAGGGCCTTAGAAGAACCTCATGTGCTGTTCCACCTTCAAATCTTACATCTTACTGTTATTGTACATCTTTTTTATACATCCAGATTACTAGAGGTTATTGTTGTTTTACGGAGTCTGTGCTCCTTTGGATTTGTCTACCTATCTGCCAATTTTTTTGCTCTCTATTCTTACTTTTATTTAAGTTTCTTTCCAGTTTCAGTCATGTATTATAAACCCTCACTTCCTGAAAATAAATGTGCTTTCTTTTACTCTTATATAATAGTTTAGCTGAGTATACTGTTGTGGGATGAAATTTATTTTTTTTAAGCATGACTGTATTTTTCCTGTTGACGTGTCTGCCAGATATTTCACTTTCCCCTTTACAGCCTTTTACCTTTATTTGTCTCTTCTTTCCTTTAACATTCTAAGCTTTGTTACATTGTGTCTTGGTGAGGATTTATTTGTCCTTTTTGGGACTGAGACTAGTTGTGCGTTCCAAACTTTGTGTGTATTTATACGTGTTTTTTTCTTTTTCAGTTGTAAAAAACTTCTCAACTATTATCATCTCTTAGACCAGTGATTTTCAGCCAGTGAGCCACAAGAATTTTTAAAACATGCAGTACCTGACCATCTAGTCAGGGGTGCTGACCGGTTTTTCCTTACATTGTCAAATAAAATGACAACAGCCAACACGACAATAGCTATCCAGTGTGAATGAATCAAAATTATACCTATTTTTTGTCAGATTGGCAAAAAAAATGAATTTCCTGGTGTGCCGCAGAATTTTAGTAATTAGTTTATGTACCACGAGACGAAAAAGATTGAAAATCACTGTCCATCATCTCTCACCTCCTTTTTTTTTCTATTTTATCCTACAACTCCTAGTAGGCAGTTTATTTGTACGTTATTTAAATTTGCCAAATTTTCTTGACAGTGACTTGTGCTTTGCTTTTGGTTTTGCTTTCTCTTTATGTCTAATAATTTTGAACATAAAATATTTTATATAAAGTCCCTGTGATTTTTTTCATCTAGAGTTCTTAAAAATCTATCCTTGCTCTCTTTTTATCTACTGTATTTCTCATTCATAAGCAATTTTTGGGTTTTATGTGTGAGTGTTTTATAATTTTGGATCATGGAATGGTAATCAGGTACAGGGAGGAGTTTTATCTGTGAGAATTCTTTGCAGCTTATCTTGGAAGGTATGGCCCTCTGAAGTGTAGTTATTTGTTTTAATGGTAGAAGGTAAGGCAGTAGAAAGAGCTCCCTTGGAACATTTTGAATACAATACTAAGAGTTTACTACAATTTTGTAGACAGACAGTATTCGTTGAAAATGAGAGTTATATAGAGGCCGGTCTTGGAAAGGAGGCATTTCTTGTGTGAGTTAGAAAGATGAGTAAAAATGAAGATGAAGAAACTTGAAGTGGTAGAAAGTTTTGGAACTTAAATCTATATAGATGATTCAGATTTTTTTTTATTAAAACTGGAGGCAGGGTTGTTTTCAGAGAGGTAGAATAGGTATAATGAGAGTAACACCTAAGCATTTATTAAGTATCTGCTAAATTTCAGGCATTGTGTGACACTCCTTTCATAAACTTTTCTCATATAATTCTTACAACACAGCCTTTAAATCAAGAGGTAATATCTATGCCAATACCAGAAATATGATGGGATTAGATAATTTTACCAAGATTGAGGAACTGTTAAATGAGGAGCCAGATTTTACTTTTCTTTGATTATGAAAATTCCTATTGTTTCTTTCAGGGCCCTGATAAAATAATTTGAGGTTGAGAAAATTCAGGCTTGGTTAAGCCTGAATGGAAAAATTATCTCACCAGTTGATTCAAGGTCTATGTGTTTGTTTGTTTTAGCATGTCCTATAATTATAATACACTAAGCAGCAGGCGTTTATTGAGTTCTTACTATATGTTAAGTTCTTACATGTATTATCTCATTTAATTCTGAAGACAACCAAATGAGAAATAGGTAGTATTTTTTTAAACTCTTTAAAAATTAATTTTAGGGGGGGGAGAGAGAGAGAGAGAAAGAGAAACAAACACCAGTGTAAGAGAAATATTGATGGTTGCCTCTGGGAATTGAACCCACCACCTTAGGGTGTATGGAATAATGCTCCAACCGAGCCACAGTGGCCAGGGCAAGTAGTATTTTTATATACATTTTTCTTTTTTAAAATATGGTTTTATTGATTTTAGAGATAGAGGAAGGGAGAGGGAAAGAGAGAAACATTGACGTGAGAGTGAGACATCAATCAGATGCCTCCTGCAAACCCGGTACTGGGGATTGAGCCTGAAACTGGGCATGTGCCCTGACCTGGAATCGAACCATCCACCTCTTGGTGCATGGGTCGACGCCCAACCCCAAGCCGACACTGGCTGGGCTATATACATTTTTCAAATGAAGAAGTGGAGATGCAGAGATATTAACTAGTTAATGTAGTCACCAAATAGTAAGCCAGAATTCAAAATCATGCTCCATAAAAATAGACTTTTTTGTGCATTGGAGGAATGTAAACATGCACATGACACATTTTGTGACATCAGGTTTACAGTCCAGTGATGGCACCTTCAGTCAGCCTGTGCTTTCTTTTGAGAACAGGACAGAAGAGCTAAGATCATCCTCTTTCTGTACCTGCTTTATAACACTGTGTCAGAAATTAACGCAGTACCTTCAGGTTCTATGTGATCACCCTTAGAGTTTATAGGTATTTATTATATAATGACAAACTGAGCTATAATAGGAGTTTCTAATATGGACCTTATGTATTCATTTAGATTACTTGATTCTTAAAGCAGTTTTATGAATCTTTAAAAAAAATTTTAAGTATTTGTTGAATAAAATTGACCTTTAATAATACCAACTTTTTTTATAATATTGTATAAGCATGAAATGGGCAGGTAGAAATTTGTAAGTTTTTTCAGGGCTTTTATCTATATAATCTGAGTATTTATATTTTTTATTATTAGAACCAGATCAATAGTAACCATCTTCGAAGAGCAGAACAGGAGGTGATCAGTCTACAGGAGAAGGTGCAGTATCTCTCTGGGCAGAACAAAGGACTACTTACTCAATTAAGTGAAGCAAAGCGTAAACAAGCAGAGATTGAATGCAAGGTAAGTATATCAAGTAGCTAGTTTGTTTTTGTCAATATAAAAATCCTTTTTTTGTTTTATCTCATCATTGATTACATTATCTTAAAACCAAATAAAACCAGAAGAAGCTAGTTTTATTTCCCGCTTTTCCTGAACTTCCTTTGGTGATTGCTTTCCAGGTTAGGGCATCCTGCTTTGGGGTGGATTTTAGGCAGGAAACCTCATTTTCAAACACTTGGTTAAATGCCAATGCATGAAATTAAGTTAACTAAGGGGTTAAAACTGGTATCTCTTTACAGTTTTTCTTTTGACCTGTAGCCCTTTAAAACCAAAGCTTTTAAGGTCTCAACTGAAAAGATAGGTAATTTAGAGAGTTTAGGCAACTCTTATTAGTGGGCAGTGAATATTGACATGTTTTCTGGATAGAGTAGAGAGCAAAGAAGTGTGTGTGTGCCAGTGGGTTGGGAAAACTCTGTACATTTCTCATTATTATTTTAATAAGTTTTTTTTCTCTTTTGTGTGAAGTGTTTGGATTCATAAAGCATGAAAAAGTATTTGAATGCAAATATATTTTTTCTTGAAATAAGTTTACAGTATAGCAGTGGTGAAAGAGAGGAGATGGGGAATGGGGTGGAGGAGAAGGGTGTGTGTGAAATAACTAGAGAGATGACTGTGGTCTGAGCATTAGAATGGATTACTGAGGACAAGTTATGGGATTTTAAAAATAAACTAGACTTTCATCTTTCCAAAGTAAGATAGTAGGAATGATGCCCTTTAAAGATTCCAGCCCTATTATTCTATGATAAGAAATAAGACTTTCAATGGCACATATAAAGCTGTAATTCCATCAACTTGTTCTGGTGTCATTAAAAACCAAGAGTGAAGCTTGAGTGGTTTATCAGTGTCACTGAAATCCAGAGATGAAATTACATCCTAATTAATATGCATGGCTGTTACAATTTACACTGACAGAAATCTGTAGGCAGTACTGAAATTTGTACTAATTTAAGAGGAGTCCCTCTTGAGGGATATGACTAGACTAATTTAGAAATAAAATGATGTAGCATGAGCTTATATGAATTTGATATGTTATACAAATATCTGATTGAGTTTTTATTATGCTATATTATCTGTGCTGACTTATTTTTAATAAAGAACTAATGTAATCTTTTTAATTATTTGTGTAAGTTTTCCTTAAGACGTGTTGATTACACTGTTATTGGATTTAATATTGCTTCTCAAATGCCTTACCACCTTTTAGTCAAAGTAAGGTGGTGTTCTTTGGAAATAAATATTTGGGGAGTTTTGCTGATGAAAATAGTTGTTTTCTTTGAATTTATCTAAGCAATGGGCTCAGGTTCAGAATTTTAGAGAATTTTAAGAATTGTCTTGAGATTCAAAAAATTTTTAATTGTTCATTAATACCTCTGTGAAGTATGTTACAGATGCTGACTCTGATATCTCCCCTGTGTTTAAGCTGTATATTGATTTATTTAATCTTTTATAATGGCTCTTGCTGATTTCAAGAATGACTAGTGTGTTGTCACTTTAGCTCCTAGTACATTCTGATTGTTTGTATTTTACCTTGTTATATTGTTCCTGAAGAACAAACCTAACTTTCAAGGAAGCCAGTCCTTCAATTATATAAATCTGATTAATTTTCATTTAGTTTTATATGATTATAGTTTATTGTTTCTTGATTAGCAATTATTAAAGTTTATTTTATTTTTCATTTATTTAAAATGTCAGGGTACTGTTTTGATATTGATATTTTCCCTCTGTAACTGAATTTGAATGTTCCCAATTAAAGATAAAATAGTGCAAGTCTGTGATCCCCACTATGAAAATCCCAAACACTGTAAAACCCAAAGTTTTTTTTAAATAAGTTTTACACAAATTCATTTGGAATCACAACCTGATTTGAATTGAAATATGGCCATTTATCATTTTTATTTATCCCAGTTGGTGTGGGTATTTATACTTCACTGCTTCATTGTGTTGAGCATTGAGTATACTGTTTCATTATGGATGCTGCCTCAGTTCCCATGGATAAGACTAATGTATAGTTTATACATGGTATTACTTTTTTAAAATCTAAAAAATCTGAAATTTCATAACATACCTGGTCCCAGAGTTTTTAGTAATGAGATTTTGGGATTTTCTATATAAATCGAAATGTGAAGATTATAGAAAGATTTTAGATTTTTGTATATATACATGAGAAAACATATATTAATTTATGTACAAACTTGTAAAATTGTGAAATAAATAATGTTAAGTGAGGAAAGTCATTCAACATATTTTACTGTGATTATCATACTAATATAACACCCCTGTTCCTTTCTATCTCATTCTCTTCCTGACCCTACCTCTTCTTTTATTTCTTCCCAGGTAATGCTTTTATTATTTTTTGATATGTCCTTTTAGAGTTTCTTTCAGGCAAATACTAACAAGTAAAAAGTATGTAATTTTTCTTTTCCTCACTTATTTTTACATAAAAGTTAGCATACTGTATGTTCTGCTTTTTGCTTTTTTTTGGTCATACGTTTTGTAGAGCTTTAAATATCAGTCCTTGAAGAGTCTTCTCATTAGTTTCTAAGGTACACTGTTTTCCATTTCATGGATGTACTGTAGTATACTTAACTGGGCCCTCATTGATGGGCACATGGGTTGTTCCCAGTGTTGTGCTGCTATAAACGGAGTATAGTGAATAATCTTGAAATGTACATAATTTCAGGTGTACAGAAATATATCTACACATCCTTATCGGATAAATTCCTGTAAATGTTATTGTTTAGTCAGTGGGTACTTTTCATAGATTTTGTCAAATTACCCTTCTGAGGGTTGCACCATTTTGTTTTGTTTGTTGTTGTTTTTTTTTAAATATATCTTTATTGATTTCAGAGAGAGGAAAGGAGAGGGAGAGAGAGAGATAGAAACATCAATGATGAGAGAGTCATTTATTGAGCCCGCAGCCCAGGCATGTGCCCTGACCCAGGAATCGAACCCCGATCGCCTGGATCCTAGGTCGATGCTCAACTGCTGAGCTGAGCCACGCCTGGCTGGGCAAATTTTTTTTTTTTTAAAGGGTTGCACCATTTTGTACTTTGACCAGCAGGGCGTTCTAGTACCTTTCCCTCCTCATGTTACTTACCAAGTGTGTAGGCAAATCTTTTTAAGTAGAAGTAATTTACATCCTCTAGGACAGTGATTCTCAAATAGAGTTGGGATTATGAAACTTCAAAGAATGATGTCATTTACTTGTGTATTCATCAGATATTTGGGTGGTTTCTATTTGTCAGTTACTCTGACAGGCACTGAGGAGTCGGTAGTGAAGAAGGTGGGCATAATGTTTAGTGAGATAAGTGAAATTGGTAAGAGCATTATTAATGGTATACTGTGGACTGGGAGTTAAGGGGCAGTGGTAATTAAGATGCAGTGCCAGGCCCAGCCCACGTGGCTCAGCGGTTGAGCATCAACCTAGGATCCAGGAGATCGTGGTTCAATTCCCAGTCGGCATATGCCAGGGTTGTGGGCCCGATCCCCAGCTGGGGGTGTGCAAGAGGCAGCTGATCAATGACTTTCTCATTATTGATGTTTCTCTCTGTCTCCCTCTCCCTTCCTCTCTCTGAAATCAATAAAGATATTTAAAAAATAAAATAAAGATGCAGTGCCAGAAGGTGGTATCAGAGTTGGGACTGAAAGAGGAAGAAAGAATCAGCCTTATGAAGACCCAGGGGAAGATCCATGCATGAAAAGGGTCACAGAGTTCAAAAGCAGAGAAGGACTTGGTTGCTGAGTCTTGTACATAATGAAAAGCTTAGTGAGATAAAGCCAGGGAGGTAGGCTGGGACTCTGTTTCTTACCGTGTAAATTTTTGTAGCCCATGGTAATGAGTTTGGGTTTTACTCTTAAGGTTTGTGGGAGGCCAATGAAAGGTTTTAATTAGGAAAGCAACATATGATACTTTTTTCTGTTTTACTATATTTGCTTCAGATTTTTTTTACTTTAGATTTTGAGGTAATTTTATGTTTAAAGAAAAGTGGCAAAGATAGTACATACACCCTTTAATCAGCTCCTCCTGATGTTAGCATCTTACATACCATGGTATAGGCTTTATTCAGATTTTCCCATCATGTCTCAGTCTCCTCTGACCTGTGACAGTTTCTCAGTGTTTCTTGTCTTTTATTACATTGACTAGTGAAGAACACTGGTCAGGTATTTTGTAGACTATTTCTCAATTTGGGACTCTGTGATGTTTGCTCATGCTTTAGACCGAAGTATTTTAGGATAGAATACAGAGATAAAGTGTCCTTCTAAGCACATCGTATCAGGGGGCATGTTGTATTGATATTATTACATCTAGTGCTGTTGTTAACCTTGGTCATTTGATTAAGTTGGTGTCTGCCACCTTGCTCCACTACAAAGCTATTTCCTCTCAGAATCTGTTCATTACAAGCAAGTTAGTAAGCCTAGTCCATGGTCCAACCTGGGGCAGGAGCATTAAGCTACACCTCCTGAAGGAAGGAGTATCAAAGAATTTGTGGACATATGTTAAAACCCCCACAGTAATTAAATATTTGTAGGGAACTATTTTGAAGCTATGCATATATCCTTAAAGTTTCAGCAACTAGTTTTAACATTTATTAGGGGATATTGCTTGTAACAATTACTGTAATTATTTTTTAAAAGAACCACATGTCACTGTGTGGAAATGGGTTTGAGGTAGGGTTGGAAAGAGATTTGTTATAAGATCATCAGGTAATAGTATAGGACAGAAGTGCTAGCTTGGGCTTAGGAATTGGCAGTTAAACTAAAGAGAAATAGATCAATTTAAGATCTACTTTTCTAGAGAACAATAAAACTTGGTGATTAAGTAGATTGGAGAGAGGGAGATTAGGAGAAATTGATGCCTAAATTTTTGTTTTTATGCTTGATTGATCTATTTCTTATATAAGGTTAACTAAAATTAGTAGAGTATAAATGTATTAGTTATCTATTGGTATTTAACAAATTACCTCTAAAACTTGGCTTGAAAGGGCAATACGCACCAATATCTCAGAGTTTCTGTGGGTCAGAAATTCAGGAGCAGCTTAGCTAAGTGGTTCTGCTTTAGTCTCTCATGAGGCTGCAGCCATATGAAGGTTTAACTGAATCAAGAAGATAAGGTGTTTTAGGTGGCTCACTCACATGTTGCAAGGTGGAGCTGGCTGTTGGAGAGATCACTGTTCTCAAGGGGCTTTCTCTTAGTAAAGGATATAAACAAGTAAACACACAATCACAATTTAGTATGAATAGTGCTATGGTTGAGGAGGCATGTAGGACACTAGAATGGGAGTGTAGTATAAGAGTCATGATTCAAGGAAGGCCAACTAAGGAAATGATTAAGCTGAGACCTTAAGGATATGTAGGAGTTAGTCAAGGAAAGGCAACAAAATTCACTAGGCAAAGGGAATAGCATGTGTGAAAAGAAACATGTCGTTTGAACTAAAAGAAGTTCAGTCTAGCTGGAGAGAGGTGGATGGTGAAGAATACTGGTAAGATATGAAGCTAGAGCAGTAAATGGGTAGCCCAGTCATGTAGAGCCTGGACACCAGTATAAGGACCTGGAACATTATCTCAAGATGTGTGGAGTGCCATTAAAGTGTTTAAAATAAAGGAGTGACTAGACCAGATTTGAATGTTATTAAACATAGGCATTGGTGTGCTGGAGCCAACTAGTAAAGACTTAAGAACCAACTGTTAAATTCTAAAGAATTTTGTGACACGTTTGTTAAACAGCCATATTAAAATTTTTATTTAACAAAAACAAATTATGGTAGAACAAAGGTAATAAACACTCAAACTTCATTATTTCCTAATTATTTTGCACTTTACTATTGTCCATGCTTTTAAGGTTATTTATACCTTTTATAGCTATATGGTGGAAATACCATACAGTAGTGTGCTACTGCACATTTCTTCCCAACTCTGTTTCAGTCGTATTATGTTGGCAGCTTTAAAGGAGTCACAGTAGAAGTATTTACACCATATAAATTGGCAGGCTACATCTCAGGGCTTGATTTATTGTTTTGTTGGTTATCTAGACCAGGAGTTAGCAAACTATAGCCCATAGCCCAAATCTGTCTGGCTGCCTGCTTTTGTAAATACTGTAAAATCTCGATGTAACTGACTAATTTGGGCAAGGGGGTGTCCATTAAAGCTGAAAGTCCATTATATAACAAAGTAGGTTTTCCAAATGCATATATTAAAAAATTTACAAATTAGTTTACCTGTTTTTACTTATGTAGACACATTTGTGTAATTAAAATAAAGTATGTATGAAAATTTGATTTCACAGAAAAGTTTTCTATATGTATTACTATAACTTTAAGTTTATACTAAATAGGTCTAGTAAATACATGCATTCACCAGTCATCAAAAGTAAACAAATGCACACGGCTGGGGTGTGGCTTAGTGCACGTGAGAACATTGCCCAGCATGGGCTAAAACTGCTGCAGAAAGTCACGCCACACTACAACAGAACCAATTACTGTGTAATCATGTGCTAATCATTCATGGAACATTGTTTAGGAACTGTCACTCTTGGATTTAAATATGTAGACTATTGTTGTACACATGTAATATTTATGTCTGTGAAATTACTACTGTGTTTTTTCCAACATATAGTCAATTCGCTAAAATTTATTAAAAATAACAGTGAATTAATAACAAAATAAAATAACCTGTTAATTTAATTATAGGCAAATCTTGGTTTAAAGCATTTTAAAATTAACAGGGTGTTAATTTTCACATATGACATATGGAAATTTTGTCCATTAAATCCAAAGTCTGTTAAATTGAGGCCTGCAAAATGGAGAATTTACTGTAAAGTTTTATTGGAATAGCCTTATTCATTTTTACAGTTCAGTGGGAGATAGAATAGTTGTGATAGACTGTATGCCCTCAGACCTAAAATGTTTACTGTCTGACCCTTTAAAGGAAAAGTTTTTGACTCCTGTTCTAGACTAATAATGCAGATTAAAGCTTAAAAGTTTGTTGTATCTTCAGCCTTTACATTGTGAATGACACAAAATATTAAGGACATTTTCTTGTATTTAATTACTATTACCAGAATCAGCAAAAAGCTTGCTCATTAACAAATGAATAAAATTCTAACATCATCTTCATTTCACTCTCATCTTCTCTCTAACATAAAAATACTTAGCCAGCCCAGCCGACGTGGCTCAGTGGTTGAGCATCAACCTAGGATCCAGGGGACCACGGTTCAATTCCTGGTCGGGGCACATTCCTGGGTTGCCGGCTCGGTCCCCAGTAGGGAGCGTGCAGGAGGTGGCCAATCAGTGACTCTCTCATCAAAGACTTAAAACACACACACACACACACACACACACACAGCCAGCCAGCCACACACACACACACACACACACACACAGCCAGACACACACACACACACAGACAGACAGACACACACACACAGCCAGACACACACACACACACACAGCCAGACAGACAGACACACACACATACAGCCAGCCAGCCAGCCAGCCAGCCAGCCAGCCAGCCAGCCAGCGTTCATATCAAAACTTCGCTCATTCCTCAGTTTCAATTATAGGTGGCTTATGGATACAAGAGGGGCAAAAATAAGTGAAAGCATTCTGTGAGAATATATTGACTATATAGAATTTATAGTAATGAGTATTGAGTATCTTATCATCTGAGTGTATTGTACTATATATCCTTTATATCATTTCATATTAAAATATATAATAAACTTATATATAAACACATAAGCCTTTATCTGTACAGATGCACAGATAAATGCACATGAACGCTTGCGTGCACGCACACACACGCACACAGTGAGCGCCCCTTCCTCAGACCTGGTTGTTAAACATTTATCAGCACAGCATTGGGTACAGAGACTACCTGTTCTGGCCATATGCAAATTTACAAAATATTTAAAGCAGCATTTGCTTAAAGTACCAATATCATATCTGAGTTACAAGAATAAATATAAATGTTTATTATTATTTTTTAAATACTCACCTGAGGATATATATTTTAAATTGATTTGAGAGAGGGAGGGAGGAAGGGGGGAAAGGGAGAGAGAGAGAGAGAGAGAGAGAAAGAGAAACTTCGATCTATTGCTTCCCGCATGCACCCTATGAGGGATTGAACCCAAGACCCTTCGGTGCACAGGTCGACACTCCAACCAACTGAACCACACCGACCAGGGCAAGAATAAATACAAATTTTTATTTAAAAACTTAATTATATTATACTTTTCTAAGTTTAGTGTTTTTTAAATTTTTGATATTATAGTACTGTCACTGTTATATCACCCGCTACACATTTTTGATACTGATTGGTGAATTTCAACAGAAATTAATGGAGGAGCAAAATATTTTTGCATACCCTTTTTCTCTACCATATTTTCTTCATATTTTGTTGTTTTTGGATCTGTATTATTTAGCACTGATATTGTAGAATATGGTTTTAGAGTTTTTCCTTGGTGAAATTTTGAGGTGGTGGGATAAATATTATGCCAAATTGTGATATAATGTAATTTTTATTATCCTTTGTAGTATAATGTAAATATTTATTAACATAATTTTTAAAATATTACCTAGTTAACATACTTTGTTAGTATTCATGTTCAATTAAGTTAATTTTAATTGAATTTTGAGCAATATTTATATGAATGATATTTCTTAATATTAAAAGATGGAATTCTATATATTCTTCATTTCATGTCAAGTTTAGGAGATAATAGCTTTTTTCTCATTTAATGGGCTTGTTATTTTCTAAATTTTGAGACAGGTTACGGCGTTCTGTTTTATTATTATTTATCATTAGTTTGATGTATTATGTGGTTTAATATTGATTTGGGTTTTTTTGCCACCCTAGAACAAGGAAGAAGTGATGGCTGTGAGACTCCGGGAAGCAGATAGCATAGCTGCTGTGGCTGAACTACAGCAGCACATTGCTGAGCTTGAAATACAGGTACCATACGAAAATAATAAAATACACATAAGAATAATGTAAGTTCCTCTTCCCTCTGCACCTGAACGCTGACTATCTTCATCCTGAAAATGACCGTGATTCTGTTTTCAATACTGACTCATTTCCAAGTCCATTCTTTTTATTGTGGTAAAATACACATAACACATTTTAAAGTGTATAGTTTTTTGACATTAAGTACGTTCACACTGTTGTACAACCAATCTCTAAAACTCTTTTCATCTTGCAAAACTGAAACTCTCTACCCATTAAATACTCCCCATTCCCCTCTTCCCCCAACCCCTGGAAACCACCCATTCTACTTTGTGTCTCTGAATTTGACAACTTTAGTTACCTCATATAAGTACAGTCATTCGGTATTTGTCTTTTTGTGACTGGCTTATTGCACTTAGCATAGTATCATTAAGGTTCATCCATGTTGTAATATGTGTCAGAATTTCCTTCCTTTAAAGGCTGAATAATACTCCATTGTATGTGTGTGCCACATTTTATTTATCCATTTATCCATTGATAGACACTTGGGTTGCTTCCATCTTTTGGCTATTGTGAATAATGCTGCTATGAGCGTGGTGTACAAATATCTGAGTGCCTGCTTTCATTTCTTTGGAGTATATATCCATAAGTGGAATTGCTGGATCGTGTAGCAGGTTGTGTTTAATTTTTTGAGAAATTGATATACTGTTTTTCACAGCAGCTGCAGCTGCAGCTGCAGCATTTTACATACCCACCAGTAATGCACAAGTGTCTCGATCTCTTCACATCCTCACCAACACTTATTTTGTTTCCTTTTTTCAATAATAGCCATCCTAATGGGTGTACCTGATATCTCATTGTGGTTTTAATTCACATTTCCTTAATGATTAGTAATATTGAGCACCTATCATGTGTTTATTTGCCTTTTGTATGTCATCTTTAGAGAAATGACTGTTCAAGTCTTTGCCCATTTTTTAATGAGGTTGTTCTTGTGTTTCAGAAGTTCCTTATAGTATATTCTCGGTGTCAATCCCTTATCAGATATATGGTTTACAAACATTTTCTCCCATTTCATCGGTTGCCTTTTTGCTCTCTTATTTCCCTTTGATGTAGAAAAGTTTTTGTTTTTTTTTTGAAATCCAACTTACGTGTTTTTTCCTTTGTTGCCTGTGCTCCAAGTCCATTTTGAATGATAATTTATTACATTTCTATAGTGTCAAAGCTATTTTCAAAAGAAAATTCAAAGTTTTAAAAATAAACTTGTTTTGTCACTTCTTATGTTCTATTTCTTATTATGCAGCAATATTAGGTAATACTTTTCCAATATGGACAAAGTATTATGTTTAAAATCTTACTTCTTTCACAGTCTTTTGTTACTTCTGTTCCAAGCCATAAGTACAGTTTTCTTTGCAGTATCTAGAATTTTCTCTCCACCTGAAAATCCTTTTGTCCTTAAATTTCAATTAAAATTCAGTTAATTTCTAAGACATATTATAACCTCATCTTTTGATCCGGGTCAAAAGTAATCACAACACATGATTTGTATAAGTTTATAAAAAAGTGTCCTTTATGTTCTGTTGATAATATTCCCCATAAAGTAGCACATATTCAGAAAAACTTGACATAATATACTTGTAATCAGCTATTTAAATCATGCTATTATACACAATTCTAGTTTAATGTGATGTGTGCTTTTCTAACATCAAGAAAATTATAAAAATTTTTATACATCTGTCACAAAATAGCAAGATTTAAATCACTTTTTGTTGATTCTGAAATACTAAAATGAAGAACTTGGTATAATGCATGTTTTGTTTAAAATCAAATAGAACATGTCATTTTTGAAAAATATAAAAGAAGATGCGTGAGATTACTATCAATAGCAGTATGTTAGCATCAAGTGGCACTTGATTAAGTGATCACTGGACTCCTAATTGCCAAATTCTTTGGTATTTTTTCAGTATTTGTCTTGCTTGAACTTATCTCATTTGTCATTGTTGACCTCTCATACTCCTTTTTTTTTTTAAATATTTTTATTGATTTCAGAGAGAGGAAAGGAGAGGGAGAGAGAGAGATAGAAACATCAATGATGAGAGAGTCATTGATCAGCTGCCTCCTGCATGCCCCCAACTGGGGAACGAGCCCACAACCCGGGCATGTGCCCTGACCAGGAATCGAACCCAATCGCCTGGATCCTAGGTCGATGCTCAACCGCTGAGCCACACCCGGCCAGGCGACCTTTTCATACTCTTTACATTCTCTCCTCCCTTGGCTTTCCTAACACCACTCACTTTTGACTTCATTCTTTTTAAACTGTTGTTTTCAATCTTCTCTATGAGTTTTGAATCTTTGTATTCTTCTGAAAATTCAAGTTTTTGGGTGTTTTAAAAATTGAATTCAAACGAAAAGTCTCACATGACTTCAGGAGTCCTCTTTACAAGTGAATCCTAATATATCTCCAGCCCTACCATGTTTTCCTTAACCAGTAATTTTTAAACCTTTTAAAAAAAATTATTAACACAATATACAGAGAAGTTCATAAAGCAAAATCTATATATAAAAAAAATTACCCATGTGACCACTATAAAGAATATTGCCTATACCCTGGAATCCACTATCCAATCACACCCTACTTCCTTATCCTGAATTGTATGGTAATCCTAAAATGTATGGTGATTATCATAAAACTCCTTATAGTTGTATCATCTTTATATGTATCTCTGATCCACACAGTTTAGTCTTCCCTGTTTCTGAATTTTGTATAGTCATATTAAATATTTTTTGTTTCCTCTTTTCTTGTTCCACATTATTTTAATAAAATTTATCATTTTTATTGTTGTACATGTTCCATTTTATGAATACATCACAAAATATTTATCCATTGTAATATTAGTGGTCATTTGGGACTTTCCAGATTGGGACTGTTATGTACAATGCTGCGATGATGAACAATCTTCTGCACTATACTGATCACCTGTACACGAGTTCCTCCAGCATGTATTCTAAGTTGGGGAATGGCTGGGTCAGAGACCATGCAAATCTTCAACTTTACTTCCTAAAGTGCACCATATTAAACTCCCAACAGCTCCATATGAAAGTTCTTGTTTTTCCATGTCATCCCTCAACACTTGGTAGTGTCAGATGTTTTGATTTCTGCCAGTGACATTTCATCTTGGTTTTAATTTCCATTGACCTGATACTAATGAATTTGGCCATTTGGATTTCCTCTTTTGTCAAGTGCCTGTTAAAGTCTTTTGTGTATATTTTTCTATTGGGTTGTCCTTCTTATGGATGTGTAGTTCTTTATTGATGTTGTGTTTTGCAAATTTCTACTCTCACTCTGCCACTTGTCTTTTGTTGTTGTTGTTGTTTTTAAATTTATTGTGTCTTTTGATGAATAGGCCAGTAGTTTTAATGGACAGTAGACAGCTCCACCTGGAAATTGTAGACACTTCACATTCACCATATTTAAAATCAAATGTGTTCCTATTCCAACCAAATTTTTTTCTTTTCTTGTATCTCAAGTCTTGGTCAGTGATATCATATATTACTGAATTATTCAACCTAGTAGGAATTTCACTTACACTTTTCTTACCCTCTACCATGTATACCAGGGCTGATACAGAGTGTGTAAGCTTTCAGCTTTACCTGGTAATACTCAATTATTTTACCAAGGGCTTGCGCTAGTTAACATTTCTACCAACACTTTACCTCCTCACCTACTATAGTAGATTTGCCTTCAAATAATTTCTTCTTTTTAAAGTGCTCGGAGCCCTCCTGTTGCTCATAGAGAAGAAGAAAACGCTTTTTTTTTTTTACTCTTCACCTGAGGATGTGTTTATTGATTTAGAGAGAGGAAAGGGAGAGACAGAGAGAGAGAGAGACATTGATGTGAGAGAGAAACATCCATCCACTGCCTCTTACACGCCCCGTACTGGGGATCAAGCCCACAACCTGGGCATAGGCCCTGACCGGGAACTGAACTGGCATCCTCCTGGTGCACAGGACGACTCCCAACCAACTGAGTCACACTGGACAGGGCATACATCAAAGGTAATTTTAATGATTTCAGAAACATTTTAAAAATCTTCCTTAGTCTTTCTGTAGTCCCTCCCATTCCCTTAATTCATGTGCCCCCCAACAACTGTCGATTAACTTCTATAGTTTTCTTTTCTCTACCTTTAGCTCTTCCACAAACCTACCAGAATTATCTTTCTAAAACATAAAAACTTTTATTTACTGCCTTTTACCTACCAAATCACATCAAAGCTCCCAGCATAAAAATGCTTCTTTTTATTATTGTACAACCTGTGTTTCTAGCTTTACCTCTCTCCATTATCTCCCCATCCTTCCTCCCCAACCCCTACACACATACACTGTCTTTTCAAAATTTTTACATTGTTTCAAAATTCTGTACTATTCTGCACACTGCTACATCTTCATAAATTACTGTATTTTTCTGTGCCCCCTAGTCCTCTGCTTTTGAGATATTTCTGCTTTCTGAGTTCTTCTTGGCTAGCTTACTGTTAATACACTTAGTAAATATGTCTTCAGTAAACATCTTAATGATTCAACTTTTACTCATTTATTTACTTATTACATGCAGATTAATATCCATAAATAGAGCTTTTGTTAAAACCTGAAACTCATTTTTCAATTCTAAGAATAATACATTTTGGGTTATTCTTAGTCAAGGAAATATCTTAGATCACTTTCAAGTTCCACTAGGGGGAGAACTCAACTTAGTCAAACATTTTTATACTTCAAATCTCTTCAGATCAACACTTTCAGTTACTGTTACTCTCTTGTGAATTAAATGTTTCAGACTCTTCATTTAATAAATTATATTATTATATAATCTGTTCTTTGGTATCAAAGCCTGCTTTTTAATGTAGTTATGAAAATTATACTTTTTAAATGTCATATTTAGATGAGAAAATACATTAGATGAAGAAATACTCATTTTTATAAACACTAGCATTATTTGGTAGATATACCTATGAGGCTGA